TATTTTATTATAAATTTATAATATTATTTAACATTATAATTATATTATTTTTGTTAATTTATAATAAAAAATATATTTATAATTGCGCACAAGTTAAGAAATTTCTTCTAATAATCTTTCTAAAAAACGTGGATCTCAACGCATTTAAAAGTCATCGTAAAAAAATAAAAAGAAATAGAGGAAAATGACAGATGTTGAAATTGAGAAATTAACAAAAGTCAAATCCATCGTTCTGGACGAGGATAACGTGAATATCAAGCATGAAATTGTAACTTAGGAGGATAAGGTCCAAAAAAAATAAAAAAAAAAGAAATTGATTAAGATTTTCCTGTTTGGTTGGTGACCAAATGATGATTTGTTCCCACAAAACGGAACCTGTACGTCCTTGTTGAACGCATCAAAATATTCATTTCTCTTGTTGTTGTGCGCCACGTACATCACATTGCATAGTACTTGATAGAAACAAGACTCTCTTCAAAATTTACAATAAAATTGGGAGGAAAAATGACTAGGATCCAAATATAGTGCAAGCTGCAAGGTGATGGGTAGCGGCCAACCATCACATCGAGAAAAAGAAAGAAGATATATATTATGAAAAATAAAAAATGTTATATAATTTAAATTATATTAAAATTTACAAATTAATTTATTAAAAAATAAATAAATTCTTTAATATTAAAAATTCTCTCCCATTCACCAATTTTTATTCCACAATCTTTTCAGATTCTTTGTTTCGAATTCCAAATTTAAATTTAATGGACGGACCTACACCTTTGAAAATTTATCCATCTCTCGTTGACAATCATGTATCAGTGCAGCTCGGGCCGACTTTCTTCACTGGCCCCTATTCATCTTTTCCCTGTTTAATTGACAGCAACAAAAGGTCAATATATGATGCCCGGACGGAAAAGAAAGAAAGTTGTTCTTCTTCCACGGATGATATTTTTTTCCGTCTTTGTTAGCATCTTTAGTAACCAATTGGTATTGTGGAATAAAATTTAATGAATAATGAGTAACAAGTAATGAATAGTAAGTAGTAATAGCAAATAGTATATGACGGTTAGGAGGTGATAGATAATAAATTGTAAATAGTAAATTTTAATTAATATAATTATTTAGTTATATAATAATTAAATGTTATTATTTGATGTTAAATAATTAATAATTAAGAGTATATTTAAAA